CACTCAGCAGGGTCTAGGGAAAAGCTTTACAGAGCAAAGCCAGGGGTTGTCACCTGCAGGAGATGCATCCTTATCTCGGGGGTGCGGGAGTTTGTGAAGCGACACCGCTGACCTGAGGGGTCATGCCAACGCCGGCAGCAGCCGCTGGCCCCAGAGTTCCTCCTCTTCCCTCTCCGTCTGTCCCTCCATCTGGGCTCCAAACCGGCAGGACAGGGGCTTCGTGGATGGAGCTGGTGCTTTCTGCACCCACGGACATAGAATTAAAGCCACGACACCTGCAGGAGCACCTCCTTTCCATTTTTAAAGCCATTGTTTCCTGCTGTCGAACGTGGGCAGAGGTCGCCTGGGTAGTCAGGCGAAGCCCTCTTCCTTGCCCTCCCTCCATGCTCAGTCCCTGCGGGAGGGCTGAGGTGGGGCCTGGCAGGCCCTGGGGGCAGAGGGAGAGGATGCCCACCTGCCTGTCCATTGCCAGGGCCAGCCAGTCCTTTGTGGTGAGTGGCGGGCTGTGGTGGCCCGGCAGCTCTCCGAGGGAGCTCCCCGCGCTGCCCAGATGGGAATTCTTCCCCGGACAGAGCCTCACACACCCTCACGCAAGCTTTGCCACCTGGGACCTTGGTGAGAGGGAGAAGCAGCGGCAGGAGGCCCGGTGTGCAGCCGGGATGTGGGAAGGGAACACGCAGAGCAGCAGCGTGGCCGTGGGGCGGCGGGGGGGGGGGGGGGGGGGCGGGGGGTGGTGGTGGGTGAGCTGCCCTGTCCTGCAGCTCAGGCCCCCTCAGGCAGGTGCAGGGGAACAGGAGAAAGCAGATGAGCAACTTTAAAATTGTTTTAATTTAAAGGTCACTTTTAATGAGAGCTCGCTTCCCTCCTCCAGGAGCGAGTTTTCTGAATGAAAAGTTTGGGGAGCTGCCTCCTAAGTGAACGTGATACACGTGTCCCCCTTTTGGGGGTGTGTGTGTGTGTGTAGGCCACCTGCTTTTCTGGAAGCCCTGCGCTGGAGGGAGCCGAGGAGGATCGCCTTCACGGAAAAGCCTTTACCGTAGGAACGGAGGCCTGGGGCTGCCGGTTCGGTGACGAAAGGTTTCTTAAGACCACTCTGCCTTCGATCCTGGGGGCCTGTCAGGTGGCCTTGAGATTAATTTTTAACATTTCACATACAGATGAAGACGGTCTTTTCTTTGGAAGGTGGCAGTGAATTACATGGATGGCGCCCGAGAGGAAAGAACTTTTTTTAAAAAAGGGAGAGGGTGAGAGAGATAGAAACACCAATGATGAGAGAGAATCATTGATCAGCTGCCTCCTGCAAGCCCCACACTGGGGATCGGGCCCACAACCTGGGCACGTGCCCTTGACCAGAACCGAATCTGGGACCCTTCAGTCCATACGCCGACGCTCTATCTGCTGAGCCAAACCGGCCAGGGCAGGAAAGAACGTTTTAAAGAACAAGGACTACACTTTAAGCATTGAGTGCACCCTCTCCGTCTTCTTTCCGCATCTGCCACCGTCCCCCTTGGAGGGGCTGCTTTCTCCTTGCCCCTCCAGTGGGCGTCCCAGGTCCTGCCACCGGCCGGCGTGGCACCAAGTTCAGCACAGGGCGCCCCCAGCCGAGGAGGAAAGACCCCAGACCCCCACCCGCCCCCATGTGCTGCCACCTTAGAGACATATACCAAAACGCCTGTTCCTGAAGCAGGTTGTGGGCCAGCTGGGTCGGGTCCCTTCTGGCTCCCGGTGGGTGGTTTCGCCCTGAACTCAGGGTGAGGAGCCTGGCACCATCATGGAGAAGGGTGGGCTCAGCCCCCGCGCCTCCCTCCCAGTGGCAAAAGCCTCAGCCATCGCCAGGGCTGTTTAAATTGCATTTAAACATGACGTGCCCAGGTTCCCAGGCGTTTCAGACGCGGAGCTGACAGTCCATGGAGTTGATGTGATCCCTGTGCACTGTGACTCTGAGCTGTTTTTCCAGTTCCTGGACCAGGGCAAGTTCCCATGGATAAGAAATGCGCAAGTGAGCCTCGAAACCACCTTTCCCAAGGAGCCCACATGCACGTGGGTCGGCAGTCAGCTCCTAGATGCTGTCAGAACGTGGCACCGTGCCACCCTGGGCGCATTTGGGGGCGACACGTTGGCATTGGCCACAGGAATGAACGGGCTCCTTCCTTTTGTGCTGAATGGCTGGAGGGAAGGAGGTTGCCGTGACTCCTCAGGGCTGGTTTTTCTGGAAGACAGAGGTCTGAGCGGTAACCAGCTCCTGCCCTTGAGCTGGTGGGCAGGCAGGAGCCAACTCCAGGCTCAAGGCCACCCCAGGCCAGCCTGGGAGGTGGGCAATGATGACCCTAAATGTTCCTGTGCCCCACAGGGTTCTCAGGGAGGTCGAATAACAATGCGTTTGAAAGGGACATATCTACACTAATAAAAGAGAAAGATGCAAATTGACTGTACCTTTGTGACACCCACCAGCCAATCAGGAGTGAGTATGCAAATTAACCCAACAAAGATGGTGGGTTAATTTGCATACACAGGTGCCGAGTGGCCAGGGATGGGGCCGGATGGAAGCTATGGGAAGGAAGGCCTATTCTTGCATGAATCCCCATGCATCAGGCCTCTAGTTTCATTATAAATGTGACTGTCCCAACACCATTCAGACCCGGCGTAAGATGTGGTCTAACGTCGCTCAGTCCACCCAAATGAAGGCAGCCATGTCCCGTGTTCCCCACGACACCTTCACCCCTGATTGTCTTTGTCCTCAGGTAAAGCTGCTAGGATTTTCTGTGGACAAATTCCATTCTGAGTTGAGTGACCGCTGAAACACCCACGTCCCTACCAGTTTTTCAAGCGAGGATTTGGCCATCTGAGAGGTGAAAACACAGAAGCAGTACCCTGGGGCGAAAGGCACAAGGCAGGAAGGAGGGACAAGGAGTGTGGAGGGGCTGGCAAGGGGCTTCGGCTCCAGGAGGCTACTGTGCCGTCTTAACCGGCGGGGCTCCCGCTGCCCCTCCGAAGGCACGAGGCTGCTTTGCCAACCCCTCACCACAGTGGTCATGGCGAGACAGGAAGGAAGTTAGGATTACAGTTGATTGATGGCCTGGGGCGTGGCCTGACGGGGAAGCAGAGTGAGAGCTGGGTAATACTTCAGCATATTTCGATCAGGGGCAGAGCTAGTTTAAGCATGTTTCCGTATTCAAGGCTTCCATGAGAATATTTCTGGGGAGAATGAACCGTTTTCCCTTCCTTGATTTAGCTGCCCACATAGTGCCAGGTGTGGGGCTGACAGAAGCCCTTGACCGATGGCCATGGAACGCAAACTCTGCGTCCGTTCCCCAACAGTGGGATCTGGGGGCCAGGGGCTGCCTCTGCTACTCACAGGCTCTCTGTGGCCTGCACAGTGTCGGCCAAGAATCTGAAAGCCCTACTTCTAAGTCAGAAGGCCTAGCTACCCTGGGCCTGGTTTCTTCCCGTTCCGATTGTCTACAGCTGGGTCCCCCTTCAAAGGGGGTGTTTTCCCTCCTTGGCCACGATCACCTCCACCCTCCAGTGTCCGTCCTTTGCCAGATCCAAATCATCGTTCACTCACAAACCTGCCTGGCCCTTCGGAAATATCTGCTCTGCACCATGAAGAAGCTTCTCCTTAGAGACGAAGCTAACTCGTTTGGTTCAAAACCACTCGGCAGCGAACGCTTCTTGGGGACTTTAATGCTGACCACGGAGACGCTCCAAGCAAGGGAGAGAGATGCGCAGACCGCCTCAGCCAGGCAGCGGCCGGTGGACCGTCCACGTTGCACCCTAACTGCGTGCGAGTCATACAGGTGCTAACGCCTACGTGAAAGCAAGGTCCCAGTGACCCCCTGCCACCACACAGAAGTTGCCCAACGGGTGTATGATGTTCTATCCCAGCTTCTCTTCTGATGTTACCTGCATAGTTGCCTAATTTGTCTCTCTTTTGAATGACTAAAATCTTAGGAAGAAACGACGCTTTATTGCTTCAGCAGTGAGTGGGCAGAAAAAACTGCACAGCACAATGAGTGGATTGGCAAAGCTCAGAACTACGTGTGCAGGTGAGAACTCCCGCGCTTCCTTCCCCACTGCCCAGCTCTTGGGAACACAGTGACTTTCTGGTCTCCACCTGGCGTGTCTGCGAGTTCTTCTCCCAAACAATCACTTGTTCTGATCAGCAAATGAAAGGTATGGAGTCAGTGCCGAGGACAACATTATTTTAAACACCACTGATGACCTAAGAAGTCTACCTTTGGGCTTACATCCACGATTTTAGAAATTTCTGCCAAATGATACCCACTAGTTAAATGCAGGTTTATGATTCTGGAAGGTGGATTGTAAGCTTTTGTGGCAGAATCTATCATTTTACCCTAAAAAAATGATAAGAATCTCTCTCCCATGGCCTATAGGCATATCTATACCATTTTTTAGATTTAAGATACATAGGATGACTCCTAGTGTCTCTCCCACCCCCCCACCCCCCCGCCCCGCCCCCCACAAACCTTTGAAAACACACGGGTAATGACCGAAGGGGTCGCTGTTGCCATCTTCGTCCCCTGGTACTACTCTCTCCATCTGATCTACATTTCTGCCCTGTCGCAGAGGGTTAGCTGAAAAAACATGCATCAAAACACTTGCTTCAAAGAGGCATAGCCCTTAGTTTGGAGACAGGAACGGCTTATAATATTAACACTTCCTGTCCAGTAAAATATTGTATTTTAGAAAAGAAGCTACAATGTATAAAACCGGGGTCATTTCCCACAAAATGTTCATGTTCTTTGTGATTACAAAACACTGCGTCTTGGAAAGTATCTCCGGTTCCGTTAACTTGAAGAGTGAAGCATGAGCGCTTGCTGTAAAAGCGGTATGTCTCTCAGGAGTGTAGAAGCCTAAGCAGAGTTCTTGTCGTATTTGGAAAATTAAGCAATAACTGCCATTGTGTTTCCGATTACATTCTGACACAACACACGAGCATTGTGATTCTCAGGCCCACAGAGAAGTTATAAAATACGAGATTGTCTTATAAAAAAGGGATCTATTTACAAATCAGAACCCACTTTGATTGCTGGTCCTGTGATCAATACAACTTCTAAAGCATCCAGACCAGCGATTTCCAACTAGTGAGCTGCAAGAATTGTTAAAACGTGCAATACCTGACTGTTTGGTCAGGGCACTGGCCTCTTCTCCCTTAGATTGTCAGATAAAAAATGACAGCAGCCAGCACAACAATAGCCATCTGGTGTCAATGAATTAAAATTATACTTATTTTTTTGGTCAAATCAACAAACATATATTTGGTGTGCTGCAGAATTTTCATAATTAGTCTCTGTGCTGTGAGGTGAAGAAGGTTGAAAATCGCTGCTCTAGGCCAATGAATATGGGCTTTTTTCAAAGTCAGTCACAATGAAACACATCGTATATTTTTTTTTGCTGGCTTGGGGATACAGTTAGCACTGCGTGCTAACCTCATTGCTTTCCTGGCTTGCGGTTTGACCAGTCACAACGGAAACAGACACAAGGAGACAATTTCCACAGGGAGGACCCCACAGGCCCGAGGAGCGGGAGGAGCAGGGAGACCTGTGGGGCCGGGAGGGTAGTTTTCTTAGAGAAAGAAAATTTTCAGTTGCCCTGTGTGCCCAGTGCATTTTCCAAAATGGTCCCCACGCTCATTCCCGCCAGAGAAGCCTCTGTGTCTGCACCATTTACGTGCTAGGAACTTCCTCCCACCCCTGCCCTCAGCACGGCAGGTGACGTGGTGGAGAGAAATTCTACAGGATCATGAGAAAAAGCAGCACCTTGTCCAGAAAAGTCCGGGAAGATCGCCCCTCGCCCTCCAGCGCAGCAAGACGCCCAGCTTTCCCGCGGCTTCGGCTCACAGCCCAGAGCCAGCCCTCCGGGTGGAGGCGGAGGGACGCCAAGGCCATCTCGTGTTGACCCTGGGAGAAAGCCATCCAGGCCGGCCCTCCATGCAGCTCAGCCACTGAGAAACACTCTCCCCTTCCCCCAGTGTCCCCGCCTCCAAAAGTGTAAATTCATGTAAATTTGTCTCGAAATGATAGCATGTCCTAAAACACCCCAACTTTTCTGACTAGAAGATCTAGTGGTAACCAGTCTTCCCAGCCTTCCGCTCCCCCAGCTCTTTCACACGCCCTTAGCTTTCCCTGAGGAATGAACATTAGTGTAGTTTTTTGCTGCTGCTCTCAGCGTTCTGCTCCAGCTGTGCCAGTCCTGCCGCTCTTCCCTAAGCACTCTCCAGCGAAAGCTGCCGCCCGCCCGCTTCCCTACAGAGTCTGGGAGGGAGGTCATGGGCTGCGACCAGAGGCGGACCCCTGGCTCAGAAGGAAGGCGCTCTCTGCTCACTGCAGGTGGCCGCGCCCTTGAGGGGCCAGGGACAGCGTGGCGGGAGGGGGGGGGCCGGGGGGGGCGGGGCAGGGGGGCTGAGCAGCACTTGTCCCTGTGATGGATGGACCCCGCCTGGCCCTGGGACACCCCTTCCCACCCACCTCCCTCCGCCCTCCACCAAGTGAGGACAGAGGAACGTGGTGCCCCAGAGATGGAGGAAGTGAATGTCGGGCTTAATTTGGCACTTCGTTTAGTTCCAAAGTATAACAAAATAGCTCTACATTTTTAAAATTTAGCTTTTACAATCAGTGTTGTATATTGCAACTCATAGCTTCCTGGGTGGCCTGCAAGAAATTGAATTCCTTCTTTTCAAGGCCAGCCAGGCAAAGATCGGTGGTCCCCTAGTTACCAGGTGCCTGGGTACAGGGAAGGGGGGCCCGCATTGCAGGGCGGTACTGAGGCTCTGTGCACGCCTGGCGGGAGCCAGGAGCCCCCGTGGGCGGGAGGCGTGTGTAAGAAGGTGTCAGAAAGGCAAAGATCTCCTAGAGAAGGGCCCTCTGCTCCACCTTCTGCTGTGCCTGTGCTTTGGCTAACATCCAGGCCAGAGCCCAGAACCACGCGTGCCCGGTGTCTCCAGGACCAGGTGCAGGGCTGCCCACGGCACGGTCTCTCCCTTGCATCCCAAAGTTCTGTGTGTAGGGGTGGCGGTGGATGAAGCCCTCATCACTTTAATCATTTGTGATTAGTGACTTAATCCCAGAATCAAGAGCCAGGGGTGCTGCAGAGGAAGCCTCTGTGCCAGGTAGCACCCCACCGCCTCAGTGTGTGGGGAACCTGATCAGATGTTGGCCAGCCCTGGACTCACGGGGACTCCCCACCCCAGCTCAGGCACCAGCACCGGCCACAGCACCAGCTCACAGCGAGGGCACCTATCGGGAAGCACAGGGAGGAGAAAAGACCTGCTAGGGCAGGGGGTGCAAAGCCATGTTTGCATTTGAAAACAATGCCCTTTCTTGGCCAACCCCGTCCGTATGAAGCTCACATTATAGCTGATGCCCTGGTGCTTGCTGAGGGAGCTTCCAGACGTGATAGTAAATAAGCTCTTTTCCTGCTCTCTTGAAATAAGTGTTTTTAAAGAAAAAATATAAATGGAGGGGGAAAACAGGATTTCTTCGAAGGAATCATGTTTAAAAAGTCATATGAGAGTTTAAAAAATCAAATTGCCAAAATATAAGAATATAGATTGTGGATGTCACACCACAGAACCTCCTCATGTAAAAGAAGAGTAACTATTATTCTACACGACTTCTTCCTACTCTTTACAAAAGGCTGTGTCAACCTCTAGACAGATATTACACTTTCCCTGTGCAATGTCCTTTCACATTCCTGTGCTGACCCCGCTCCCGGCTCACAGTCATCCGTAAGGTGCTGGTACCTCTTTGCATAGGGAGCGGGGAAGTGACTCCTTCCAGGGCAATCGGGAGGGGGTAGGAATCTATAGGGCGTGACACAACTCCCCTCTCCTCACACCACCACCACCACCACCACCAGCACCGCCACCCGCCAGGCCAGAGAGCCTGGAGAGCGAGCACAGCACCAGCCGCCCTACGAAGCTGAGAGCGCCCTACAATGCATGTTCCTTTGGTGTCTCTAGGTTCCCTTCTGAGCCAATTCCTGACAAACAGCTCCACTATTTTTACAAGCAAAACAAAGGTTTGGATTTTCCCTTTTACCCATAAAGCGCTTAGACTGCTCACGAACCCGTCCCCCAGACGCGCTAAAGCATAAAACCTACCAAAGTGCACAGAACCGGTCGGTTGGCCGACCTCGCCGCTTTCCGAACAGACAGCCCGGAGGCTGTGCTCTGCCGTCCAGAGCAAACCGCGGGGCCCGCTCGAGTTCTTGGCCTTTGCTCAGACAGACAGTGGGAGCTTGGAGGGAAAGCCCGGTGCCCGGTGCACCGGCAGCGGCTTGGCCAGGCCAGCGGCGGCCCGCAGCCCCAGCTGCACATGCCTGGAAGGAGCGCCAGGCTCCCGGCCTCCCCGCCGGGTCGGCGGGGCTGAGCCGCAGAGGAGCCGGGAAAGGGCTCTCCAGGTCCCAGGAAGACTTCAAGGTGTTCCCTCGGAGCCGCTGGGAGCTGCGGTCGGCTGGTGATCCCACTCGCCATCGGGCCTGCAGGCTCGCACTCCTCCAAGCAGGGCCATTCTTCAAAACAAAACAAACAGGAAAGACACGGGAAAGATGCCAGAGCTGCTCAAGAAGTCCATGGGAACGGGGAAGACCCAGGAAAGCAAGTCTTGTCCTGACACAAATGCCACAGTCACCCGCAGCTTCCCCTGGGTGTCCCCCACCCCGAAACGGCATTTTTCAGGAAGCTCATCAAAATATGCCTCCTCCCGGGGAACATGGCTCCGTGGGACCCAGTGCTGCGGAGACCACCGCTTCCAGGCCTGACCCGGCAGAGGACGGGGACTCCCTCTCGCGCACAGGAAGCGGCTCTGAGCGCACCGGGCCATGTGGCCTTTTTTCTTCTGAAATTCCACCAGGCCTCCTGGACGCGCTTTTCCTGGGCTTCAGGTGTGTTTTGTTTGAAGGAAGAGCGCTTTCCCGAAGCTGCCGTGGCGGTGAGGGCGGGAGGCCCAGTGGCCACAGCTGCACCCCTCAGTCCAGGAAGTGCTGGCAGGCCTTCCAGTGGCAGGCCGTGCACCACAGCCCGGGTGGCCGCGACCTGGTGGCCGTGACCTGGTGGCCGCGACCTGGTGGCTGAGCCCAGTGGCCGAGCCCCTCAGTCCAGGAAGCGCTGGCAGGCCTTCTTCCAGCGGCAGGCGGTGCACCACAGGTCCCGGTTCTCCATGCCGTACACCTTCCGGCACTTCTTGCCCTCTCCCCGAGGCTTCCTGCGAAGGGAGGGTGCGTAGTCAGCGGGAGGAACTCAATGGGCATTGCTGGAGGGGCTGGACACCCCTCGAAAGATCGAGAAAAGTCGGGAAACAGCAGGGTTCTCTTCGGGCCAGGCCTTCCTGTGTGCTGGGTGGCTTTGGGGCCAGGGCCCGGGGCTGTTACTCTGGGCTGCCCTAATTCCTAAGGTCCTATTTGCCCACTTGCGGACATGACATTGGCCATATGCATAGCACTGAGGCAAACACGTACACATGGGAAATACCAGCAGAGAGCATACTCTTTTGAGTTTTGAAAGAGGTACTTTCAAGTGCTCTCTTGTTTCTCAAGTGTCTGGCACTTTGGTTAAGGGGCTCCTGGCTCTGGGAAGAAAGTCGACCCTGTGGTTCCTTTACTACTGGGGTCCGTGCACAGGACGCTGGGCGTCCCAGTCGTCCCCATGGTCTGTTCTGTAGGAGAACTTACTGTGAACGGTCACAACAACAACAAAGCAACGAGTTTGCACTCATAGTTAGTGGATGGGGAAACCATGGGAATAAGAGAAAGGGCGTCGCATCCATGACGGGGACATTTCACGGAAGACCCTGTCTCCGGTTTCTGTTTCTCGCTGTTCTGCGTTTCAGCTGCTCCCTTGGGGCAAGGCGTGTGGGCATCCTACCTCAGGCCGACCGTCCCCCTGGGCGGGGAGGACAAGACCGCGTGGCCGTGCTGCCGCTGCTCTCCTGCGCCCCCGGGGTGGTGGTGTGTTGGTGACACCTGGAAGGACAAGGAGAACAGAGCTGGCGGCCAGGTTCTCCGTGCCATACCTTCAGGGAGCCTCTGCGATGCGGGCAGTGGTCCCTGATCTTAGATGTGGAGGTGGAGTGCCTCCTTCACAGAGAGCACACGTTAAAATGGATGGGGTGGGGCTCACGGCAGAGTGTAAATGCATCTCCCACAGAAAAGACCAGCAACAATGCACGCCTTACACACTCTCATGGTTTTGCCTTGGGCGTTCCACTTTGCCCTTGGTCACTTATTTTCTTTTGAATAATGTTTTAAAGTCTATTCTTAGTTCAAGCCTCATGATCTCCCTTTTTCAAGAAGAGAAAAGCTAGTCAGTGGCCACGACACCCTGTGGGCTCGGCCTTCTGTGACCTGCAGAAGGGGGCCAGCAGGCCCTGCGCCTCAGATCCCAGTGATGTCAGCGCCCTGCCCCTGCTCCTCTCCCATGCATGGCAACAATGAATGCCCTCTCCCCCCCTGTGTCCATTCATAAAGGTCCTCTTCCCAGCCGTGTCCATTCATGAATGCCCTCTCCCCACCCGTGTCCATTCATGAAGGTCCTCTCCCCACCCCGTGTCCATTCATGAAGGGCCTCTCCCCACCCCGTGTCCATTCATGAAGGTTCTCTCCCCACCCGTGTCCATTCATGAAGGTCCTCTCCCCACCCGTGTCCATTCATGAATGCCCTCTCCCCACCCGTGTCCATTCATGAAGGTCCTCTCCCCACCCCGTGTCCATTCATGAAGGTCCTCTCCCCACCCGTGTCCATTCATGAAGGTCCTCTCCCTACCCCGTGTCCTTTCATGAAGGTCCTCTCCCCACCCGTGTCCATTCATGAATGGCCTCTCCCCACCGTGTCCATTCATGAATGCCCTCTCCCCACCCGTGTCCATTCATAAAGGTCCTCTCCCCACCCGTGTCCATTCATGAAGGTCCTCTCCCCACCTGTGTCCATTCAGGAAGGTCCTCTCCCCACACCTGTATCTATCAATGAAGGTCCTCTCCCCACCCGTGTCCATTCATGAATGCCCTCTCCCCACCCGTGTCCATTCATGAAGGTCCTCTCCCCACTCCGTGTCCATTCATGAAGGTCCTCTCCCCACCCGTGTCCATTCATGAAGGTCCTCTCCCTACCCCGTGTCCTTTCATGAAGGTCCTCTCCCCACCCGTGTCCATTCATGAAGGTCCTCTCCCCACCCGTGTCCATTCATGAATGCCCTCTCCCCACCCGTGTCCATTCATGACGGTCCTCTCCCCACCCCGTGTCCATTCATGAAGGTCCTCTCCCCACCCGTGTCCATTCATGAAGGTCCTCTCCCCACCCCGTGTCCTTTCATGAAGGTCCTCTCCCCACCCGTGTCCATTCATGAATGGCCTCTCCCCACCGTGTCCATTCATGAATGCCCTCTCCCCACCCGTGTCCATTCATAAAGGTCCTCTCCCCACCCGTGTCCATTCATGAAGGTCCTCTCCCCACCTGTGTCCATTCAGGAAGGTCCTCTCCCCACACCTGTATCTATCAATGAAGGTCCTCTCCCCACCCGTGTCCATTCATGAATGCCCTCTCCCCACCCGTGTCCATTCATGAAGGTCCTCTCCCCACCCCGTGTCCATTCATGAAGGTCCTCTCCCCACCCGTGTCCATTCATGAAGGTCCTCTCCCTACCCCGTGTCCTTTCATGAAGGTCCTCTCCCCACCCGTGTCCATTCATGAATGGCCTCTCCCCACCCGTGTCCATTCATGAATGCCCTCTCCCCACCCGTGTCCATTCATAAAGGTCCTCTCCCCACCCGTGTCCATTCATGAAGGTCCTCTCCCCACCTGTGTCCATTCAGGAAGGTCCTCTCCCCACACCTGTATCTATCAATGAAGGCCTTCTCCCCACCCGTGTCCATTCATGAAGGTCCTCTCCCCACCCCATGTCCTTTCATGAATGCCCTCTCCCCACCCGTGTCCATTCATGACGGTCCTCTCCCCACCCCGAGTCCTTTCATGAAGGTCCTCTCCCCATCCGTGTCCATTCATGAATGGCCTCTCCCCACCCGTGTCCATTCATGAATGCCCTCTCCCCACCTGTGTCCATTCATGAAGGTTCTCTCCCGCCCCTGTGTCTATCAGTGAAGGTCCTCTCCCCACCCCATGTGTCTATCAATGAAGGTCCTCTCCCCACCCCATGCGTCTATCAATGAAGGCTTTCGCCCCACCTGTGTCCATTCATGAAGGTTCTCTCCCACCCCTGTGTCTATCAGTGAAGGTCCTCTCCCCACCCCATGTGTCTATCAGTGAAGGTCCTCTCCCCACCCCATGTGTCTATCAGTGAAGGTCCTCTCCCCACCCCCATGTAAGACATGGAGGAATTTGGGAGAGCATATCCCTCAGAGTTATCTCTGTACTTAAGAAGGACGTGCTTTAATTGGAGGGGCAAAGCGGGGCGGGGGGTGGGGCGTGGGGGACATCTGCAATACTCTAACAATAAAATCCTAAATAATAAAAGGCTAATATGCAAATTGACTGAACGGCAATATGACCGGTCGCTATGACACGCACTGACCACCAGGAGGAAGACGCTCAACGCAGGAGCTGCCCCCTGGTGGTCAGTGCACTCCCACAGAAGCTGGGCTCATGGCTGGCAAGCATAGCAGCAGTGGCGGGAGCCTATCCCGCCTCCGCAGCAGTGCTAAGGATGTCCGACTGACAGCTTAGGCCCGCTCTCCACAAGTGCACAAATTTTGTGCACCAGGCCTCTAGTAAATAAATAAAACGTAGGGGGAAATTCCATTCGAAAGCAGTCTGGACTGAGCAGTTCCATCTACATGCTATGCATGGTTTTACACAAGCTGAACAAGAGGGTGTCTGCCCTTGAAAATCCTCCTCAAGTCAAAGACAAGATGGACAGATGAGCATAGCAGGTCTTGGGAATTCTGTCACAGTAGCGGCCTTTCCAGGTTAGAAAGGTTGTCGCGGGTGTGACACAGAGACACTCTGGACCTTTTTAATGTCTAACAAAAAGTCACCAACAGGACTGATTGCTAACCACGACACCCACCTTAGCAGATCACGGTTCTTGCCAGAAAGGACTCTAATACCTGATGTCCAAGTCGTTTTCTCCCGCCTGCTCGCTAGTCCCTGGTGGCCGTCTCGGCCTCTCAGAGCGACCAGCAGTGGTCACTCCTCCATGAAGCAGGCAGCTTTCATGACTACACCAGATCCACACTATTGTTTAAACGTGGAATCTGGGGGCATTTTCTGGAAGCCACAAATTCCTAAACTGTTGCCAGCAGTTTGCCTTTTATCCTTGGCTAGTCCTCCAGGGATTTAGTCATTGGCCAAAGCAGCAGCATTGACTGAGCCACTTTCATTAGTATGCACTCTGCAGGAGGTCTTAGTATTTGCTGGAAACCTCTGGGAGTTTCCAGGGGTTGGTAATAAGAATCTTTTGGGAGGTCCTTGGGGAGAGAGGTGGAAAGGAGAAAATAACATGAATATCCATTATCACAAGCTACTCTCTGGATCTTACCAGGAGGTAGAAACCACTGTGCACACCAATGGTATGGGGGTCTATGAATGCTCTTTATAACCTATAAAGACCCAATATATATTTTATTTATTTATTATTATTTTTAAAAAATATATTTTTATTGATTTTAGAGAGGAGGGGAGAGGGAGAGGGAGACTGAAACATCAATGATAAGACAGAATCACTGATCAGCTGCCTCCTACTGGGGATCGAGCCTGCAACCTGGGTATGTGCCCTTGACTGGAATCGAACCTGGGACCCTTCAGTCTGCAGGCCGACACTCTATCCACTGAGCCAAACCAGCTAGGGCTCAATATACTTTTAAATGAATGGTTAGAAATCAGGTTAATTCATGGCAATTTATCAGACAGTAATCATTTAATATGTCAAATAAATTCTTATATACTGCTTAAACCTGATGGCATATTTTAGCACTCATTTATTTTCAAACTAGAGGCCCAGTGCACGAAATTTGTGCACTGGGGAGGGGGGTGTCCCTCGCCCAGCCTGCACCCTCTCCAATCTGGGACCCCTTGGAAGATGTCTGACTGCCGGCTTAAACCGGCAGTCGGACATCCCTCTCACAATCCGGGACTGCTGGCACCTAACTGCTTGCCTGTGTGCCTGCCTGATTGCCCCTAACCCAGCTGTGGGCAAACTACGGCCCGTGGGCCGGATCCAGCCCGTTTGAAATGAATAAAACTAAAAAAAAAAAAAGACCGTACCCTTTTATGTAATGATGTTTACTTTGAATTTATATTAGTTCACACAAACACTCCATCCATACTTTTGTTCTGGTCCTCCGGTCCAGTAAGAACCCATTGTAGCCCTTGGGTCAAAAAGTTTGCCCACCCCTGCGGCCTGACCACTTCTGCCTGCCAGCTTGGTCACCCCCCAACTGCCCTCCCTGCCGGCCTGATCTCACCCACAACTGCCCTCCCCTGCTGGCCTGGTCACCCTCAACTGCCCTCCCCTGCTGGCCTGGTCCCCCCCCCAACTGCCCTCCTCTGCTGACCAATTTGGTTCTGATTGGTCAGTTTCTATGCCAGTCAGCATCTAAAGCTCCACCTCCTAGGCAGCCATTGGCTCCTTACAGTTGACCCAGATTTGGTTCTGATTGGTCAGTTTCTATGCCAGTCAGCATCAAAAGCTCCGCCTCCTAGGCAGCCATTGGCTCCTCACACTTCACCTAGATTTGGTTCTGATTGGTTGGTTTCTATGCCAGTCAGTGTTTCTGGGCCTATCAACAGGGTCTGATCAGAAAGGCGGGGCTGATCAGCAGCCCCAGTGGAGGCCTGGAGAGAAATGAAGGTTGCGGCTGCTGGAGAGAAAGAGAGAGGCAAGTGCTTATCAACAGCTGCCAGGGGCTACGGATCAGACCCTGCTTCTCTCTTCAGGCCTCTCTCCGGGCCTGATTCGCAGCCCCTTCAGCAGTCAGTGCTGAGGCACCGCGCCTGCAGCCAGGGCAACCCAGTGCTGACTGCAGAACTGACTTCCGGTTGGTCAAGCCTCTGGTCATGACAGACCTAGGGTTTTTATATATTAGGATTACACATCCATATGGATGGATTATTCAGGCTTTGGGGGCAAAAAGTGACTTTAATTTTTTATTTTTTTGAACCACCAAGATGACATACCGGCAAACAATAATTTCAAAGTCATAAATATTATGAATGTACTCATAATGACAAATGCCATTTATGTACAGGTGTTTTTTTAATATTCAGGATCTGAGCTCAGAGATGATTTTATAAAGCCTTTTGGAAACATGCAAATATAACACCAACAAAAAACTCTGATCTACATATGACATATTTATCAACAGCTGAAACGCTTTTATCTGACAGAGTAGCCGGGCCTGTCGGAGCCATGAGAAACCTTGCTCAGGAGTTTACAAATTCCACGCAAGATACAGGTGCTTCCAGCCTTCTGGGCTTTGTTTTTCTGTTGCATGTGTCTAAATGTGTTCTCTAACTTTATGTTTGGCTTTTTGTATTTGTACTCACTGGAATGCCTGTGAAGGTAACTGGAGGAGACTGCCAGGAGACACTGAAGCTGCTGCCATTGGGGGTGAACTTGGCCGATCCTGGGATGGTCACGGGGGGCGTGGCCTGTTACAGAGCAAACAGAAGTGGTCAGGGAGGCATGGCACGGTACAGAGAAAACTGTTAAGAAAGGTTTTCCTCAGTCTCAGCTGTCATTTACCAAGGTGGGGCCTCAGAAACTATCTCGGCTGTATTAATAACTTAGACTAGTTATCTGATAGGAAGAGATGAAACATGGCCAAAGAGAGTAGCTGGAAAGAAATTCTTTATATATCTAAGCAATCTATCTAATGTATCAAAGGAGATGGTTTTTGACTATTGACTTCTGAATTTTAGGACAACTGTGAGTGAGATATACTAGTCATTTCTCACTATCAAATTTGGAAATAAACACTTTTATACAGAGATGGTGGGGCGTAATTGGTACAACATTTGGGAGGGTAATTTGGCAATATATAAAAAAATTTTTAGAATTCTGTATATTAGCTACTCCACTTCTAGAATTCATTCTAAGGAAATGGATACAAGGATGTTCATTGTATTATATGTTTTTAAAAATTGGAAATACAAATGTCTAGTAATAGGGAAATGGGTAAATAAATCATAATATACCAACTGAGCCATTACAAATGATGTTGTTGAAGAATACTCAATGACATGCAAATATGTTCATGAGCCCTGGCCCATGTGACTAAGTGGTTATAGCATCTGTCTGTGCACGGAAGGGTCTCGAGTTCGACTCCAGGTGAAGGCCACATACCTGGGTAACAGGTTCGCTCCTGGGCCCTGGTCTGGGTGCATGGGGGAGGCAACCAATCAATGTATCTCTCTTACATTGATGCTTCTCTCTTTCTCTCTCTCCCCCTCCCCTCTCCCTTCCCCTTCCCAGCTTCTACTCTTTCTAAAAATCAATGGAAAAAATATCCTTGGGTGAGGATTAAAACAAAACAAAACAAAAACCCACCACATTTGTGATATATTCAGTGGAAAAAAACCCACAAAGCATAGTAAAAACAGTTCTACAATAGATTTCTTAGTTTTTTATGCACATACACATAGGAGAAAGTCTTGAAGACATACCAAAAATATTAACCAAGAGGCTTTCTTGTCGTTGGGATTAAGGATACATTTTCTCTCTCTGCTTCAGTTTTTAGTATTTTCTATGCTGAACATTTACAATATCTACAGACAGAGAAATCCCAAATATTATGAATACAGGGTTCAGGAAGATGATCAAGTGTGTGTTCCAACCCACTTTATAGATAAACAAAATAATTTCAGTAAGTTGGTTCAAGCTCATGATTTTGGACCTAAATGCAAACATGAACAAAGGAATGAATTATTCTTTTTGACCCACAGAACGAGTCAGGAATAAAATTTATTGCACCATCAAATCTACTAATCAGCTCTATTCCTTTGCTCTTGAGCTTCAGTCTGCCAAATAAGTGGCAAACTTCCGCCACAGGTTTAGCTTTTCGAAGGCTCAGTGCGGTTGCGATGGTGGTGGCTTTGGCACCACGGACGTGTCTGGCAATGCTTAGCAGCAGCATCCTGCTCAGGTGGCATCCTCTGACTCACTCATTACTCTTCTGTGACTTCAAAGGAAAAAAAGCTACGGGCACAGAGATGTTCATAGTAGAGTTATTAATGAAAAAACTGGGTAGATCAGGTACCTAGCAATAAGAGAACAATGGAAACAAGATTGAACTTTATGATGACAATGAACTCCACTACGGGGCTACGGTGTGGGATGCTGTTTTTCTCTTCCTCGGGCAGAATGCAGCTGCTTTTGGTCAGGGGCAAAGTGTCACTCGGGGTCGTGCACGGCACCTGGTAAGCGTGGTCGGTGTGCACGAGGTAGAGGGTGGTAGGGGCCGAGCGGCTCAAGGGCGTCATCAGTTTAGTCTCGGTTTTGGCACCAGGGCTTTCTGTTCTGCTTGAATCCGGGATGGGGAAGGTGGGAGGTGAAGCCAGGGACTGGGAGGGCGAAGCCGGGGCCAGGCTGCCCAGTCCATCCGCCACCGCGTCCGTGTTGAGCTTGATCTCCGTGTAGTAGAAGTCCTCCTCACCATCGCTGTAATCAGAGTCCCCAGCACGCCTAATGCAAAGGACAGCAAAACAGTCAGACCACGCCATCTCGCAGGGCTGTGCCCTCTGTGTGGAATGCTTTTCCTGTCCCGTGTCTGCCTAGAAAACTCTATGCATCCTGCGACACTCAACTGTCCACTCCCAGGGAAGACCTCCTTGACCTCTAGTGGAATTTATCCAAACAATCAACCAAGCAGTTACTTATTCAACAACTTATTGAGAATCTACTCTGTGTAGGCACTCTCCTAGGGCCTGAGCAAGTCGTGGATGGATTCTTCCCTGATGGAAATGACATCTAGTGGGAGAGGCAGACAAGGGAGCCATCAGTAAATAGGTGTTTAATCCATCGGGGACCAATGAATGCCAGAAAGAAAACCTAAGCGGCATACGAGTGCCCGTAAGCAGGTAAGTGATGGGTTGTATTTTACACTGAGCTCAGAGGAGGTGATGTGAGCAGACCTGGATGAGGTGAGGGAGCTGAAGCCTGGCCACGGGAAGAATACAGTGAGGAGCAGGCAGGCCGGGTGGGGTGGGGGGTGCCTGGTGTCTTCCACCAAGGGCGGAGGCCAGGTGCTGGGGGGAGGGCCTGCGGAGACATCGGAGGGGAGGGCGGAGGCCAGGGGCTGGGGGGAGGGGCGGCGGAGAGGGCGGAGGGGAGGGTGGAGGCAGGGTCAGAGGGCTCTGCAGCCACAGGAACGCTCTGAATGTGACAGAAGCCATGGAGGCTTTGAGGAGTCTCAATATTTTTGTTTCTTCTTTTTTTTACATTTTGAAATTGTCATTTTATTTATTTTTTAATTTATCTTATTGTTGAAAGTGTTACAGGTGTCCCCCTTACTTCCCCCATTGACACCCCCCCCCCCCCCCAGGCCTTCAACACACTATTGTCTGTGTCTCTGGGTACGCGAGTGTATATATGAAGTCTTTGGTTAAACCCCCACCCCTGCCCCGGCCTGGAGATGGGAGATGAAAGGGATCGCTCAACATGGATGACCCAGATGAGCCCCGACAGTGGGAGGGGAGGGGAGTGACGAGAACCCAGTCTGGGATGTGTGCTGAAGGTCAGGCTAAGGACTTCACTCAGTGTGCCCCCTGGCGGTGTTCTTTATTTAATTCACGTTATTAAATTACTTCGCACGTTTCTGTAAGTTTTAACCTCTACTGCCTCCTTACAACATTCTCTAGGGCTTTGGTGTCCACAACCAACATGAAATCTCCCCCTGTCCTATCGTCACGACATTGAGCTCATGGTCTAAGGCGAAGGCGGTCCTCTCCCCAGGCCCAGAGAGCAAGAGCTCCTGTGAACCCCACGGTCCTAGGGGTGCTGGCAAAGCTGCGAACCCCAGGCCCAGGGCCTCTGTAGAGCAGAGCACAAAGGGAGCCCAGGGAGCAATGACTTTGCCACCGTGACAGCATCCGGAGCTCAAAGGGCACGGCTGGCGCCACCGACTCTGCAGGCTCTGTCGGGCGGGCGGGCACGGCTCTGCGCGGTGCTGGACAGGGTTCGAGTCCCTGGGCAGGTGGGCTTGACAACAGCCCCCCTACATCCTGAGCGTGGCTTCCGGAGGTTCTCGCTGGACCTTTAAAGAAGCGGAGCTATTTCCGTCGAGGTCGTCCTGACATGAGGTCAGGGAGACACGCCCGCTTCCCCCCTGGAGTCCTCAGGAGCAGGACCGGGGCGGCTGCCCAGAGGGTGCAGGGCAACCCTGGGCCACACCCACTGGGTGACCTGCACGCTGTGCTCTGGGAGGGACGGGCTGCGTCCGCAGACATCAGCCCCATGGATGGGGAGGAGGTCTCTTCCTCACCCACGCAGGTCAGTGAAATCACGCCAGAAACTGTTTATTTCCTTTCCATTTCACTGCGATGGATGCTGCACGTCCTACATTGACTCCTTGTGGGGCAGAGAGACTGCAGTGTCCATTTCTCATCCTGGGGGGAGGACTCCTCTGTGCCCAAGCATCTGGGGCTCAGCATGTGTCTGGGTTTGCCGTCTGCACCCCAGTCAGGATGTGCAGCTTCTCAAGGGCGCCTTCCAGTCCCAGGTCCCTGGACAAGTGGGACCCCGAGCCCACAGGCCAAGACTGGGAACCACCGCTGCCCCGGGAGGGCCTCACCAATGGGCTCCAAGCTTTGGCTTCTTTCCTGAGAAAGGTTCTCATAAAACACAAGGAAAGCGACAGAGGCAGGGCGCCAGAGGTCCCGGGCATCGCAGCAGCAGCTCTGATGGGCAGTGGTGCCTTAACCCTTTTCAGGCTCTAAGTCACGAATACTCTCCATCAGGGGGTCAAAAAGCACATCTACATTTACAGACATCTTCAGGGGGGTCCTACCCTGCCCTGCTGCTGTACTTTTACAAATGGCTCGCCCCACGTTTTACTTTTGACCTTCACATGTGACCCCTGCAGGGCTGACTGTATTGTTAACCTCATCTTCAGAGGAAACCGGGGCGCAGAGCAGTCCCTGACACCCCTCAGTGCAGTATGATGTGCGGTCAAGGCCTCTGTTACTGCCTCCCTTCTCCCCGACCCCCCTCCCTCCGGGGGCCCAGGCCCTTCCTGACTCCACCTGAGCACTTGTGAGGCACAGGAGCTGTCTGGGGCCCGAGGGCGGCCGCCGGCAGCACGGAACCCACGCCCAGCGGGAGGGAGGTGCCTCACCCGAGGTGGACGCCCCGGATGTGCTTCTGGATCCCGGCCGCGGTGCTCAGCACCTTCCCGCAGTTCTTCCAGAGGCACTTGAACATCACCTTCATGGAGTTCTGGAGAGGGGAGAGGATGGAGAGTGAAGTGAAAACGAACCTACCAATGTTGCCGGCCCAACACGCTTCTTCCTTCCTCTTTACCCGAAGCTCATCACGACCTCACGAGTGGACAGATGGACGCACGCGCGGAGGCTCTCTGCCTCTGTTTCACACGAGGAAGCTGTGCTGTGCAAATCTACCCCCACCTGCTGCGCCCGAGGTTGACCTCATGTGTCAGTGGCCCTGCCCGTGGTCTCAGGCTGGGTCTGGCCCTGGGAGACAAGAGGCTCTGGACTCCCCAGTCCCTTCCTGCCTGGCCAAGCTGGGCGGGCTACCTTCCTCCTCCAAAAACCACCACTTCTGTGGGTGTTTCCAGAGTTTTGGTAACTTTATGGGTTCTGGAAACTCCTCTTTTTACTTGTCCCTTCAGACTTAGGGGTGGTGAGGGCCTTGCCCTATAGTTAGCTCTTGGGATCCTGGGGTACCACCCCACGCCAGCCCTACACCTTTGCAAAGAGCCTCTTCAAATTCTTTCTAAATTTTTAAACAAATTTATTGATTTTAGAGAGAGAGAGTTCCTGTTCCACTGGTCCACACATTAACTGGTTGATTCTTGTATGTGCCCCAGCTCAGCAATTGAATCCACCACCTTGGTGTGTGGGGACAACACTCTCACCAACCTGGCCATTGCCGTCCAGCTCTTTAACTACCTGCTGGGTACATCACCCGCTTCCTGCCTGGACCTGGAGGATGCGGGGAAAGCAGGTTATGAAAGAATGTGAACGATGTGATCTTTCTGGGGGTGGTATGTGATGCAAACACACATGCATTCCTGCGTGGTGAAGCGCGGGGGAGGGGCAGCATATTCAGACATTAGTTTCCAAATATAAACATCACCCTGTTTTTAATGTGAAAAAGGTATTTCTTTATAGGTGGAGGTCCCCCTATAATGCTGGCAGGACTGATTTGGAGAATAAGAGCACATTTTTAGCGGATGAGCTCAACTTTAATGGAAGCAGCGGTCTCTGTTCATAGGCGGAGGTGGCCCCTTGCATGCTGGTGGGTGCTTGCCAACGTCCTGACTACGCCCGCGAAACAATCCTCCCGTGCACACAGAGCCACTCTTCTTAAAAATATACATATACATATTTTAATTGATTTCAGAGAGGGAGGGAGAGATAGAAACATCAATGATAAGAGAATCATCGATCAGCTGCCTCCTGCACACCCCCCACTGGGGATTGAGCCCGCAACCCGGGCATGTGCCTTTGACCGGAATTGAACTCAGGACCCTTCAGTCCGCAGGCTGATACTTTATCCACTGAGCCAACCTGGCCAGGGCCAGAGAGCCACTCTTATGTGGCAGGAAAGCGAGCCCTGCAGGAGGAGACCGGAGACAACATTTAACATGGCCCAGCCCTCCCCACGGGCCCCAGCTCCGCCAGGGCAGCCAAGCCAAGCCCAGCTCAGGCACAAGCGCAGCCTCCGATCGGACCGTGACCACCTGCGCTCGAACCTGGCTTCTCCTGGCAGCTGCACCAATGTTCGCGAGGCTGAAGGCCCCCGGGGCTGGGACCGCCCCTGTGCCCACAGGCGTGCCTGGTCTGACACGGCCATGCCCGGGGCAGCCGGCTGGGCAGGGACCAGCAGGCCCTGCAGACCCATCAGCTCGGGGCTGCGGCCGGGACGGGCGGGTCTCCATCGCTGCAGACGCTCCGGCCGGCCCTGACACGGTCCTGGGGGCCAGGCGGCCGGGCTGCCTCGCTCTCTCCCCTGAGGCCTCCGCCTGCTGTGAACTGTGGCCCACACGGGATGCTGGGAGTGGCGTCCGCTTTCCCGACAGACCCAGGCTGACACACAGGACTGACAAAGGCCAAGGTCCCCTCAGTCCCAGCGGGTGGGCCCAGCTGCATCCTGACGGTCCACACTCATCTCCGGGCCAGTCCGCCCGGAGCTGCCGGGGTTAGAGGACCCTGAGGTGTGTGCACACGGCGATGAGGGTGCATGTGTGCGTGTGTGCGTGTGTGTGTGTGTGCGTGTGTGTGTGCGTGTGTGCGCGCGTGTGCGTGCGTGTGTGCGTGTGTGTGCGTGCGTGTGCGTGTGTGTGCGCGTGTGTGTGTGTGCGTGTGTGTGTGTGTGCGTGTGTGTGTGCGTGCGTGTGTGTGCGTGTGTGTGTGTGCGTGTGTGTGCGTGTGTGTGTGTGAACATGTGTGCTGGGGATGGAGGCTCAGACAGGAGGACCAGGGCCTCGGAGGAAGGAGCACAGGTGAGCTCACGGCACCGTCCTCGGCGCCTCGGGTGGGAGGCCCCTCACTGTGCGGCACAGGCTCGGTGACCTCCCTCCTCTGTCCTCCCGGCTCTGGCTGGAGGGCGGTCATCACGTGACACCCACCGGGAGGGACGGAGCTGCTTTCTGGCAGCCGCCTGGTCCTGCCCGATGGGCCCGTTCCTGGGGCAGCGGGTTTCCTGCCACGCGCTGCGCTCAGCGGGCGTGAGGAGCGCAGTCAGCGGACGGGTGCTCGCTCCTGCGCGGGCCTCGCCGACTTTCCCACTTCAGAGCGAGTCACGCTTTCCGGGTGTGAAAGGCAGGCGTGGCTCCTTCACTGATGGCTCCTGCGCAGCCGGCAGTTAACTTGGCGCTCTCCCCTCTGACTCGATCTCCCAAGTGCACAGGGAGAGTGGCCCCGGCCAAGACACCTGCGAGGGAGGCGGGAGGAAGGCCCGGCTCAGCGTCATCGTCAGATCCAGGCGTGCGCCGCCCCTTTGTGAGGGGCCCTGACGTGTTATTACCGTGTGTCTGCCACGGGGGCGGGGCTTCAGGGGCACAGAGACCTGAAATGCTCGGTCACTCTGACTCTTCATGATGTCCCGGCCGAGGGCTGGTAACTGCTGTTAGTTTGTGTTGCAGATGAAGACGCCGATGGTCAGAGAAGGGAAATGATTTTCTGAAGTTTGCAGGGTAGCAAAGTTGAGCTGAGCACGGGGCTCCTGCGACTTCTGATCAGGGCCCCTCCCTGTCCCACGGATCGTGTTCTCTCCCCAAGCGTTTTGCCCACCAGCCACAGCAGCTCCCTATGCACAGCACAGACACGAGCGAACAAGCGAGACAGAAGCGCCGAGAAACGATGCCCTGATCGCGTACGACGCACCGCATTCTCTCAGCTCAAGAACGGAGTGCTGTTTATCCTCAGCCCATTAAGCTGAAGCTGCTGTCGGCAGGGCACTGAGCACGGGTCCCTGCGTGGAGTCCTGGTCCCCACGCCGGCCACCTCTGAAGACAGCCGGGGCCACGCACTCAGATGACCCCAGAGAAAGCCTGATGCACCAGGATGGCCCTTCAGTCCCCATCGCCGCCTGGTGGCTCGCTGACCGGTCAGGCGAACACGGACGCTGCCTGGTGGCTGGTGGGAGCAGCATCTTCACGCCCCGCCTCCGGAAGGCAGGCGCTCCTTTCTCCCCGGCTCTCTGGGTAGGGAGCCCGCAGCCTCCACAGCGGCACAGGCAGGGGACGGAGCGGAGACGGAGGGATCGATGCTGGGGTTGATGGCATCGATGGGTCGATGCCGGCTGCGTATTTTCCTCTTGGAAATAAATTGGGGGGAAGAGGTTGCATGGCAGTCCTCAGGGTTTTGCTTTGAGTTTTTGTTTGTGAATAGTGATTCCCAATGAAGCTACTGAGAACCACTTACAGGACAAATATATAAAGTAGCAGCCTCACACGGACATGGCCATCAAAAAATAACGTGAGCCCTGACTCGTGTGGCTCAGTGGATAGAGCGTCGGCCTGCGGACTGAAGAGTCTCAGGTTCAGTTCCAGTCAAGGGCAAGTACCAGTAGGGTGTGCAGGAAGCGGGTGATCGATGTTTCTCTCTCATCGATGTTTCTAACTATCCCTCTCCCTTCCTCTCTGTAAAAAATCAATAAAATCTATTTTAAAAAAATAACGTGAAAAGGTATTTGAGATGTAGCAGCAGATCGCTTCATCCTACAAAGTGAAATCCTTTTGGAAAATTGTGAGTGGTCATGATAGTGTAAATACACACAAAGAGGATGGAAAGAATATGAGCTTTAGGTTCAGGCAGACCTGGGTTTGAGTGGCGGGCCTGGCCCTTCTATCCTCAGGACAGGGCAAGCTCAACGTCTAATCTCCCTGATCCTCAATTGCCTCATATCAAGTTGGGAGAATGATACCTACCGGCCCTGGCTGGTTGCTCAGTGGTTAATGTGTTGGCCCTCGCACCGAAGGGTCTTGGGTTCAATTCCCAGTCACGGGCACGTACCTGGGTTGCAGGTTCTGCAGCCGTGGCAGGGGCACATGCGGGAGGCAACCAACTGATGTGTCTTTCTCATATCAATGTTTCTTTTTTTCTCCTTCCATCCCACTCTCTCTAGAAATCAATGGAAGAAATATTCTCTGGTGAGAATAAAAAAAAAAAAAAAAATCAGGTACTTACCAGACGGGGACAGCTGTGAAGATTAAATAAATGTGTAATCAATGCATTAAATCAATTTATTAGAGCTCTTTTTCAGGTTTAGTTTAGTAAACCAGTTTTTGGTCTGTAAGTACATACATGCATTTATGTGTCAGCTTTCTTCTTCTTCTTTTTTTTTATCCTCACCCGAGGACATGCTTAGAGAGAGAAACATTGATGTGAGAGAGAAACAGCTATCGGTTGGCTTCCGAATGCTCCTCTATCGGGGATCAAACCCCGACCCCAGGCATGTGCCCTGACTGGGAACGGAACCAGCAACGCTTCAGTGCGTGGGAGGAGCTCCGCCAACCTGGCCTGGCTGGGCAGCTTTCCTGCATGTTTTACAGCCGGTTTTATGAAAATAAGACACAAAAATTCTTCCAATATGTTTTTAAAGCAGAACATAGAAAAGGGAGTTTGTTTTTATTTTACAGGTGAAAAAAATGTAGTCCCAGGAAGAGAATGAGTGAGGCACCAACCCACGTCTGACATGCACTTTTGTAGCTTTCAAACCCTGGTCAACGCTGGGCACCTCTGTCCACGTGGCGCCAGGCGGCAGAGGGTGGGAGCCACACTGGGCGGCTCTGCCCTGATCAGGCCCTGGGTGTGTCCTGGGCCCTCAAAGAAGGCGCGGGAGGAGAGGCTGACCTTTCTCTTCCTGGGGATGGGCTCGTCCAAGAGCAGGTTGCCGGCCTCGGCCTCGTCGATGCCGTCGTCGGGCGCGGGGCTGCGGAAGGGCTTGGCGCAGTCGGCGGACAGCGGCGGTGACGGTGTGGACGGGTTGGACTGGTCGCTGGGGGCGCTCCAGCTCCAGTAGCCGCTGCTGCAGCTGCTGGACGGGGCACCGCCCTCCTTCCAGGATCCGCTCATGCCCTCTGCGAGCCAGACAACCAGCGTCAGTGCGGCAGGGTGCAGGGGCCAGGGTCACCGACGCGGGGGGGGGGGGGGGAGGGCTGGACCCTACTAAGCACCTGCAGCCCCCCGCCCCCCAGAAATGTGCAACAGCTGGGGATGCACTATGCATGCCTTGGGAAGAGAGGTGCATTACCCTTTATAAACACTGAGCTATTTTAACACATGACAGGCTTTCCTAACAGCTCTCTGATGTGGGTGGTTTTGGGATGACAGTGGAGGGGGTAGAAAACAAGAAAGAAAAAGATGCCCTTGTTCACTAAGTTTGGGGAGCTCGGAGTTTACTGGTGTTTCTAAGAGGGAAATCATTTGCAATATTGTCCCCCTCCCCCAACCCGTGTTTCTCATATAGGTCTGAGACCTTTGGAATAGGTTTGTGGAAAACGTCAGTCCCAGATGTAAGAGTCTAAGAGAAATAACATTATAGGAAATAACAGTGCCGTGCATTTGTTGTTTCCCATCTCACAAAACTCATTCACACAGGCCCGTGCGTCCTCACAACACCTGTCTCTCAGAGCAAGCACGGCCACGCGGGCTTTACAGACAAGCACCTGAGGCACAGGAAGCCGCGACTCGCCACGGAGCCAATAGTGGACCAGAGCCCAGACCCTGGTCTGCCAGTTGGCTTCTTTCTCCTTCAGGGCATGGCCCTGTGTGGTAGGAATCCTCCTCTCTTTCCAACAATCTGAGATCAGAGGAAAATTTATGGGCAATATTTACTGATAAGACGGCTGCTGAATTCTTCCTTTGCACTTGCAGGGAAACAGGAAACATTTGCTAATGTGAGAGATCTTTGTCTGGTTAGAACGCCGTGGGAGGCTCCTTATAGACTTGACCTTCTTGTTGGATAATTTCTCCTCCATGTTTATGTGCATTTTGAATACATTAAAACTATATTTTAAGTTCAGGATGGGGGGGGGGATCCCAAAATGTCTCATTATGCTGTAAACATTGGTGTAATTAGTAACGAAGTGAAGACACACAATGGGCCAGCATTCGTGGAAAAATGTCTTGACTACCTTCACCCAATCACAGATTTCCAGCATATTCCTCAACTGTGTCAAGCCAAACGTTCAGTTAGAGGAATGAAGTTTTAAGCTGAAATCGTGGAAGAAAGTTACCCATCTCACTAAAGCGAGGCTCTACCCCATCAAATGGTCATTTCTGCAGGATCAAGCCTCTCTGGCACCAACAAAACCAAGTTAGCATCTCCCTCCCTACAGGCCACCGGACAGTGCTCACCGGCCCGAGAGCCTTTCGGACGCGACAGCTGCGTCCGCAGGTCCTTCGGAGGCCTCCGGGGGCATGGCCGGGGGACACACGCCTCAGCGGCTCAGGAGGCGTATGACACAGCACCGCGCGCACTCGTACAGTCCGTGTGTGGTGCCAGCGGGTGATCAGGGTAAGTGACTGCGCAGAGCGGGGGAGGTGATTGGGGCCTGAATTGATTTTGAAAAGCAGTGTGTCGCATTGCCTCATGTCAATGCCCACAGCTCAGTTGCTGACTTGGGAATGACATTTCCTTTAAGAGACGCTATTCAATGAGAAGGGCAATGTGATGTAGAAATGAATTTTTCAGAAAAAGTCAGAACCAATTCGAGACACAGAGATGGCCGCGTCTCCTTCCCTGACACACGTATTTGGTGAAACGCAGACAGGCCCTGCAGGAAGCTCACCCTCTTTGCAGACCTACTTCCTGACAAAATGATCCTTTCTAGGAACAAAAAGAATCACAACAGTTTTAAAAAATCCAATGATATACAATAATTCCAGACATATGTCTATTTTTTAAATTAACCGACACCTTCATTATCATTAACTGCTTTCCCTTGTTAAGAATTTGCTGCCTGTTGCAGACCCAAGGAGCTAGCAGACAATTTGGGATTATAAATTGGGGAGTTATTTTTTGAAATCATAATGAACAGGGAATTCCTTTCCACATAACTATGCCAACAAAGGTTTGTGTTGCAGGAGCAAAAGGTTTATTTTGATTCTAACCTTTCAAGACAAAGGAGCATTAAAAATGTTCTCAATTAAAAGAGAATGCCATGGAAAAATACTGATTGCGTTAAAATATACTCTTTCTTCTCTGAGGAGTCTCTGACATTCTGCAGCTCCTTTTTTCCTTTTCTGTAAAATAATGAGAATCTACAATTTATTTGCATTTGGTGGCCCAGCTTAGGGCAAATACTTGTCTGTAACCTTGAGGAATTTTTTTCTCTATGAACGCTTCCATCTTTTATGCAACTCCTTTGCCCTGGGATTGGTTTGGGGGTGTCTTCAGTTTTGCCTTCTCTGCAGTCTTCCTCAGGGGCCTCGCCACACTGAGCAGCGGGAGCCAGGAGGCAGTTAGAGGCCCGGCAGAGAGGGCTGTCCTTAGCAGCAACGCCAGGCGCCCTCCCAGCACCTCCCCGCTCTGTTGTGGCGTCACCGCATGCGGTGGTGGTGAGGGCAGGGGGCCTCCTGTGGACGGTATGGATTTGACTTCCCGGCACCTCCATCATTCTTCGCACCGACAACTGGAGGGGAGTAGGTTTTGGTGAGGACTCACTGGATGTTCGACAGCTTTATTTTCACACCTGGCGCTTCCCTCCGACTTCTGTGTGGACCATACCTCAGCCTCCTAACTGGCCAGGCTGGCTTTTGAGAGAAGGGGTCCCCTTGCAGTAACTTCCCCTCCGGGGTCCCATGTTCATTTCAGCCCACTCCCGCCCCCGGGTGGTCCACTGTGCGCTCTTGCCAGGAATCAGAGCCTTTGTCTGGATGCAGAATCCAGCCTGTTTCATGCTCGAGCTTCTGAAGCATCAGACGTCTGTCCTTGAACATCGCTTTTCCCTCGGCTTCTAGGAACCCACATTCTCCCCTCTCCTGACCGCTGGTCCCCCTCAGGCTCTTCCCTCTGGGTCCCTGAAGTGAGGGCGGGCCTCACCCCACCCCACAATCCCCTCCCAGTCTTGGCTCCCCGCCTCCACATGACTCTGAGCGATCTCCCCTCCCCTCATGGCTTCTGCGCGGCAGCCCAGACCTCCCCAGCCGCTGCCCTTGAATGAGCCGCAGTGCTGCCCAGGACACTCGCTTCCCCCTGGCCTGCCGTCGTCTCCAGTGAGCCCAGCTCTTGCCCAAACACTCACTGACAGACGTGCTCCTCCAACTTATGTGTGGACCATCTCGGGGCAGGCCTCCTGCTGACACCCTGACTGCCTGGAGGGCACCCCGGCACTCCCCTCCTCCACCCTTTTGTCCATCACCACGTCCTGTTGACTCCTCCTTCCTCACATTTCTTGGTTAAGGTCCTATCCGTCCCCTCTGGGACCACCAGGGTTCGGGACAGCCATAGGGTTGTTGTTGCTGTTGCTGTTTCTTTTTGTTTTTGTCTGCAAGCCCAGCTGTGACTGTCCATGCTGAAGCCACGTCGCAGCTCTCCTGCAGCCTCGGACTCACGTCCGTGCTCCTGGCCAGGCCTCCGTCACTGCCTGCTGCTCTCCTGATTTCTCACAGTGAGTTAGTGGGCCCACAGCAGCCATGACTAAGATGATGGACCCGGAGGTGGAGGATACAGGAGGGAATTTCAGCTTTGCCATTTACAAGTCAATTAATCCCACGTGCCTCAGTCCACTCATCTGTAAAATAGCGACAATGACAGCCACAGAGTTGTGAGAATGACGTGGCAGAGCAAGCCTCTCACCTGGCAGGGAGCAAGGGCTCAGGAAGTGCTGCCATTGACGAGGCTGTGACAGAGCCTTTCCCCAAGAGACCGAGCTGCACGGGAATACGGGTGTTGTTTGCAGTGATGCACTCACACCATCTAGCACAGCACCTTGTAAGTGCATACTGAGTGAATAAACGGACTAAATCATTGCATTTGATTGCAGAGTCTGGGATAATGCCTTTGCAACAGTCTTCAGAGTTATTTGACCCAACTACCTCTCCTGTGGAACAGAAATAATGCCGGGAAAGAGCTCCATTTCCTGGGAAAGGGACAGTCGCTGCGGGTAAGTGCCCTGGAACGGGATGTGCGGGAGCGGGGGGAGGGGTGACTGGCGTCTCTGGGAAGGTGAGGAAGCTGGCCCTGGGTCTCCACGTCTCCCACGCTGCCCCTGGTCCTGCTCACGGCGAGGCTTCATCGTTCATTCCATTTGATAGGGATGAGACCCCTCAAAAGGGGGCTGTGCCACAGTGCCCTTATGCCCATCGCCCTCCTCCCCTCACCGAGCTCACCATTCGGCCGCACAGGAGGGCTTCGAACCAAAGGGCTTGTGGACAGGCTGGTGAGTACCATTGCTGCTGTCACCTTGTCCATGTCCAGTTCCTCCGAGGATTTCCTGGAAAACAGGGAGGGCCACTGTTAGCGGTGCTCGCTCGGCACGGACTGGGGCCCTGCCACCTACCATCACAGACAGACGGGAGAGGCAGGAGGCGCGAGCCCCAGGAGCACTCTGCAGCGGGGACAGGACCGAGCAGCGATTCCTAGTGGCGGAGGGAAGACACTGCCATCACTCACCGAGACGGACGCTCACCGAGACAGACGCTCACTGAGACGGACAGGTCACTCTGGCTCGTAAATTTTGGCCAGTTAACCCCCCCAAAAAAAGGCTCATAGGACAATGGCCATTGTGGACAGCAGTCAGCTTACTTGGGCTGATTTCCATAAAGAATTTAATATCGAAAATGCATGCAGTACACCGACGTCAGATAAACTGTGCCACCTCCCGGCACGAGCACCCCCCGGGGGCAGTGGAGAAGAGGGTTCACACCGTTTGGGCACATGAGCGGTCACACTGACAAACGCGGCTTTCGTCCCAGCCGCGCCATCTGACGTTAAAAGCAGTGAAGCTGCAGAGAGAGAAAGTCAAATCGCTCCCAATCCTGGGGGTGGGGCTGCTCAATTAGTTCCGCGACAAACTTATAAAGTTTACGCTTTGGCTCCCCAGCGTGCGCCAGGATGCTGAAGTACAAAGCAAAGCCACTCGTCCAGTCCCAGACGGGAGCTGGCAGTCTCCGTCTGTAGTTCTTCTCAAAGCACCTTGCTCTCTTTCTTGGAAAACTGTTCTATTCAAAGGCCAATTCCTTTTTTTCAGAGACTGGCAATGAGAGATGCTTCTAGAAGGCGCGTGTGCGAGCACACAGTGCGATGTGCTCTGCAGAGGTCTTCAGGGCAACCTTGAACCGGGGAGAGCTGCTCCGTCCCACGGCACACCCTGAAAAGGCTACGGCACCCACAGTTCACAGGATGGCGGGCTTGGGGGCAAAGGCGAGGCCAGTTTCCCGCAGAAACTGAAGCAGCGCGAAGAGGACTTAAACCACCTTCAGGCCATTGATGTTCACATCCCACCCCCCATGGAGGCGAGTGGGTGTCACGAGGGCCTCCCAGGAGAAAGGCTTGCTGGACACACTGTCCGCCGGCTGCCGCCAGAGCCCAGCCGTCACCATGGCTCCACACCGTGGTGGGGACCGGAGCAGGCCACTGTCATCTGTCCCAGACGGAATTACAGGAGCTGCCGGCTGCTCTTTCCAACTCCGTCTCCTGTTTTTAACAAAAGGTTTGAGAGCCAGGATCAGAGGCCCGGGAGCTGGGCGCTGGGAAATGGCAGGACGGCACGGAGAGAGGGTCCCCGGTTCCTACAGGGACACACTCCGCGGCCACACTTGTTTCCAGTCCTTGGTTTCAGGGGCCTCTATTTTCCCTCCTGTAATCTGCTTTGTATCTTTTAGATTTTTCACATCTAAGGTTTGTTTTAGAGGTCTAGTTGATAATTAACTTAAAAGCTGATCTATGTGTTCTTTTTAATATGAAGATCAATAGCGAAAGTGTCTCTATAAAATATGCATTTTTTTGCATCACCAAAGCCTGCCACGACCTTTCAACATAATGATCAGAAAGCAGATTCCCGATGAAGAGCAAAGAGCAAAACAAACATTAGCATCACCAGAGTTTTGTGTTCGGCCACCTTTACGTTTCCCGTGGGCCCGGGAGATCACGAGGACACCTCCACGGCCTGCTGCTCACCCCTCAGCGAGCGTGCGAGTCTCGGGGAGTGTGTATCACGCTGCCTGGAGCACGGAGACGCGGCCCTGTGCTGAGTGTGTGGTTTTTTTTTTCACCCTTGTTTATTTCTTTGGTACAGTGCTATCTAATTACTGATTAATTGGTTCTGCAAATGCAAATCCTTGTAATTAAATGCAAAGAGATGATGCGCCACGTGGGGCTTGTTACATGTGGAGAAAGCTTTGCCGTCTGGTAGACAAAGGGCTGCTGGAGGAAAAGACCACTCATCCAGGTGATACTGAGAGTTTCCTCCCGGTGGGAAACGGATTGGAATCCACTGCTGAGGCCGCCCAACCCCACGTTCACAACAGGCTGAGAGCTCGTCCAAATAACCTTTCCTCCCAGGCCTGGCTGAGTATTACGGAACTTTAGAATTAGTTCTTAAAAACAGTCCCACGCCTTGTCATTCGGTACGCGCTTTGTCGCTCAGCTGAGCGGGCTTTGATGGATGAGCAGGATTTCCAGATGCGAGTCACATTTCAGGCGAGGAAGCAGGCGAGTCCTTGGCTGGCAAACCGCGTGGGCATCCTGGTTGGAGGATGTGGTGGAAGAGAAGAGGGCACGGAGCCTGGCTGGGCCTCGGGCCTCACGTGCCAGGCCGGGCGGATTTTCGTGTTCTCATGAGCAGAGAGGAGAGAGGCAGCTCAACCTGGATTTTAGAAACAGGCCAAAACGTCTACAGGCATGCTCTGTAGCTAGTTTTAGTTAACTCTCAATTCAAACGCAAAGTGCTACCAGGGGTCCTCAAACTTTTTAAACGGGGGCCAGTTCACTGTCCCTCAGACCGTTGGAGGGCCGGACTATAGTTTTTAAAAAAACTATGAACAAATTCCTATGCACACTGCACATATCTTATTTTGAAGTAAAAAACCCAAAATGGGAACAAATACAATATTTGTATTTGCATGTGGCCCGCGGGCCGTAGGTTGAGGACCCCTGTGCTAGCCTAAGACCACTGCTCCTCTCTGCACAGGCAGTGTTCAGTCTTCGAGCACAGACCTCCCTCCATGCGGCCAAGGATGGGTGGCTGGGAGAAGAGTGCAGGCTCCGCAGTGAGTTACATCATGCGGCTTCAAATCCGCTCTCTGCCAGGACTGGCTGTGTGGCTCTGGGGAAATTACTCAACCTCTCTGAGTCTGTTTCTTCATTTGTGAAAGGAAGAGATAGATCTGCTGAGACGATTCAATGAGAAAACATATGTGAGCACCAGCAGAGCCTCACCCACAGCCAGGGTTCTTCGGGCGTGAGCTCTTACCTTCACATTCAGGACCCGCCCATTACATGCGTCCCACACGCAGAGGGGCCTCGTCGGTGACTCTCCTCGCTCTTCCGACTGGGCACCTGCACTAGCAGGCGCTGCTTTCCATTTTGGGGGGGGGGGGGAGCGCTGCCAGTGGTGTTGTTTTTCACAAAGAACCAAACTGTTCCAATTTCACAGGCGTTACCCAGCGAGAGGTGACAATCGGCACAGGAAGTGGCAGCTGCTGAGCCCTCCCTGGGCTCGCGGTGCCTGGGCCAGAATCCAGCGCGTGACGTGGTGGCTCTGGGGCACGGTCCACACAGCCAGAGCCCAGAGCGGGTCTGGGTTATGCCCCGAGTTCCTGCTTTCAGCCCTCACTCTTGAGGACCAGTTCTGAGCCAGGGCACTGCTGGACATTGCAGAGAGAGCCTCAGAGAAACCCCGCGGGCCTGGCCACCCTATTCCCCCCTCTCCCCCCCCCCAACACACACAACCGGAAACCTATGCATGTGACAAAGCCAGGAGGTGGCATGGCCTTGGTGAGGACCTACGTAGGTCCCCAGCTAGGGGAGCCTGGAGGTGGGCGCTGGCCTTGCTGGGTGAGGCAGGGAGGGGCTGGGGCGGGCAGCGCCGGCGTGGCCAGACTGCCCTGAGAAGGCGCAGGATGCTCAGCTCGGTGTGCCGGGCACCGGGACAGGGACAGGCCCAGGAGCGCGGAGGTGTTTCGAGTGGACCGGCTTCAGAGAGGTCAGGTCAGGTTAGGGTGATGCTTTCAGATCTGCCTTTCAGAAAGCTCACTCTGGCTGCCGGGTGGAAAATGAGTTTCGTGGGTTTGACAGCTGATCTTTTATCTGCCAAACTGATTGCCTGGTGACCGTGGCAGCGGGTGGAGGATGATGTCATCTGTGACAGGGAGGTACTCAGGAGCAGCGGTATCGGCAGGCACAGCCTCGGCACGACACAGGCCCGGTGGCGCTGCAGGTCCGGCCCCCTCGGCTGTGGCCGGTGCTGGCAAGGCTGTTGTTTCTGTCACAAGAAGCTTTTTCTTCTTTTGAGCCACATCATGCCTGACTGCCACCTGCTGGGAGCACGTGTACACACACTGTCCCCGTTAACTCACCAGCCAAGAGAGAAGTGCTCACCGCCCCCCCTCCACCCCCCGAGAGCCGGGAGAGACAGCTACCTGCAGGGAAAGTGCTGCAGGAACAGATGGAATGACAGGGAGAGCAGACTCCTTCATCAGCACTGATCCCGTTCCTTAGCAACTACTGGAATCGGCGGTCTAGACCAAGTTCCATCACTTTGAGGACGCACAGTGACCCCAAAACAAGCAAAAGGCCTGGCCGTGAACTCTCTTCCCTGCAAAGTCTCGGAATCTGGGGACGGCTCTCGCTAAGAGTCGGCACACTGACCGGGTGACTGCTCCAGTGGCCAAGCAGAAGGGGCACCTTGCTTCCTGTCTGAAGGAATCTTGCAGCAAAGGCGGTCACTGCTAATGCTCCCCATTCATTCGAGGTGTGGCTTCTTTTAAGACCACAGGGAAGATGTGCGTGTTTCTGTGGAGAAGGACATGGAGGGGGTTGGAGAGGACCGTGCCCCAGGCCCTGTGTCCTGCCCATGTGTCCAGCCTGCCCGGGTCGGCCACGTCCTGGCTGACGTCTCCAGCCCACGAAGGAGATCCTGCGCCTTAGCAGTGGCCAAACAATGGTCACACAGTCGGGAAGAGCTCGGCTGTTTCCGCTGGACTCCTGGGGGCGCGGTCGGGCAGGGCCGGCGTGTGTGCGGGGCAGGGCGGGGGGCGGGGGGGGGGGCGGGCAGGTGGAGGTGCCCGGAGCGGCGGGCAGCCTGCCGGTTAACAGGGCAGCTGATAAGGGCCACAGTTGTCCCCGGGAAGAAAACCGTAATCAAAATTGCATCTCTCACTCTGACATTTATGTGCGTCCAACTCGGGTCACTGCAGGCTGGCTGGTAGGGTGAATTACCTCGTGCCCGGAGGCCTCGAAGCCACTTAGGTTTCCATAATGGAAAGAACCTCC